AAAAAAAAAAAAAAAAAAAAAAAAAAAAAAAGAGAATGAAATAATTTACAGCTCTACATAGTATCCTGGAGAGACAGTCATAAAAATTTTTAAGAAAAAAAAAATCCATGTTTCTCTGAGTAGTAAGATATGTTGGTGTGTGTGTTCTCAGAAGAAGGAATGGAAGGATATAAACCAAATTGTTAATATTAATGACCTCAGGGAGTATGCAGTATTTACTGTTTGGCTATGAGAAGGGGAATTAATTTAGAGGTCAGATCAGGCTCAAGTCCCTAGCTCCACTACTGCTTTGATGTGTGACATGGACGAATAACATGCCAGTTTCTTCATGTGTAAAACAGGAAGAGAAATAGAGCTGTTGTGAGGAGTGGATATTACAACAGTGCCTGTCACAATAAAGTATAGCTATTGTCATCATATTATTATCTCCTTCAGTGTCTTCTTCACTGTACCATATCTGTTCTTCCATTCAGAACTTTTTTATTGGGACTGTAAAAATATTTTTAAATATCAAAAGAGAAAAACATAGAAATAAAAACAAAATTCAAAAAGCCTAATAATGAGGGGGTTTACATAGTACTTGTTTCTGATCTCACTAGAGCTAGCTTGCCTCTGAGGCCATCTGAGATAGCTAAACTTTGGCCCTAAAGGACTGGTACAAATCTGGAGACATGTGGCCTACATTTCTTTCTTCTTGACCTGTCTTCACATAGAAGGTGCTCTTAAGCCTCACAGACTAGGAGCCTCCTTCTCAATCTCTCCATACCTTCACTTGCTCTTTGCTATTCCTACTGTCACCTTCCTCTTTTCTCCTGCCACATCAACAGCTTCTTACACTACAAATGTTCTCTTTTACTTACTGGAATTCTCTCCCTGACTGACAGACTGATAAGGAGTTGTTTATTTGCTGTTTGAGTCACGAATATCATTTTTATCCAATCCCAACTTTGCCTTTTTTGTAGGACTACTGCTACATTTACGTACTCTGGCTTGAGAAATCTGGAGCCTTTAGGCAGTGATTAGATTTCTTTTATGTGCTTTACAACACTTCACAAATTCATTAATGATAAACAGGAAATAAACCAATAATTCTCCTGGTTTATTTCACCCTTAGGACACTCATCTATGAAATCAGAAATCTTATTCCTGTCAGAACAGGATGCCATGTGCTTCCCCGTTAGCAAAGAAGTTTTAATTTTATTAATTACAATACTTATGACTAAACCAACGCAGGACCTCTTTCCATGGATTTCACATGATCGTCAGAGTTTCTCATTTTTCTGCTTCCTTCTGCCATCTTTATATTCATTTGCCTTTTGTTTCCTTCCCTTCCTCTCTTCTCTCTTCCTCTTGAACATTTTAAAGCACTTCATGTGTGCCCAGCATTTAGTAACAAAGCTTGAGAAAAACAGGCCACCTTTTCATTATTAAGGCGCTTACAAGCCTAACTGGGAGTTGGAGACATTCATCAAATAATCACCAAATCTATAATGTAAAACTGCACTTAGTGCCATGAAAGAAAACACAGTCCCCTGTGACAAATCTGTGTAGATGAAGGCTTCATCCAGGAAGTGGCAGCTGAGCTGGAGTGAGAAGTATAAGAAGGAGTTAGCCAGGCATCTCCCTGCATTTAGAGCACTGAGTAGGCAGAGACCAGGATTGTCAGAGCATTTGCTCCTGGGTCTGCCTCACAGATGTGCTCATAAATATTTGTGGAAGGGAGGAAGGGGCAATACGAATGATATAAAATAAATGTATCCTGCTTTGTTTTGATACTGAGCAATTAATAAATTTAACTGCTACTAACTAGAAAAAAAAAAAAAATCTAAAATAGAGGACAGAAAGGAGAGTGTGGCAAAAGACAAGGCTGCAGAAGTACCAGCCAAATCACACTGGGGCCTTTAAGAGTATGTAGAGATTTTAGTCTGAATCCTACAGAAATTGAAAGCCACTGAAAAGTAATTCACAGGAAATATAGCTAATTTTTTTACAGCTTACATTTTTAAAAATTATGTACTAGATACTGTGCTAAAGACTCTACTTGTACTATTTTAATCCTTGAGACAATCCTATGATATACTATTAATATTCCAATTTTACAGAATGAGGATACTGAAGCATAGAGACGCTGTGACTCCAAACCCCTACTCTTAACCACCGTGTTACACCTACACACTATTCACAAGGGAGAGACGTAGGTAAGCAATTATGTACAGCTGATTCTCATCTCTTCGGCAGGCCTAGCCCCACTGTGGAGTCGATTGCACAGGGGTATCAGGATTTAATGAGCCAATCATTGACTTTACGCCCCTTGTTCTGACTCCCTATTAATAAAATAACCTTCTAATTATATTCTGGCTTCCCATATAGATTTTTCTTCTGGGAGATAATGCACTGGCCAGCCTACACACGCATTTTATTCCAGTTGACAATTTTATTACTCATTGTAATAAACTGGCATTCTGCTTTTTTAAAAAATGAGATAACATTCAAACAAAAAAAAAATTGATAGTTTTATACAGTTACTTTTCCATCAAGGGTTAGCCTGAAAAGTAAAAGGCAACAAATAAAAATACCAAGATCTATCGTCTCTTCTGTGGTGCAACCTTTTCTTGCTGCCTGCTTTGAGCGACCCTGAACTTGGTCAGGGAGTCTGGGGATGAGCCCTTTCTTTACCTTCTTTGTCGATGCCCCCAGCACAGCCCAAGTGCTTCCTTTGTTTCCCAGTGAGCCTTTAGCAAATCCCACCTTTCCTCCCGCACCGGCGGCAAGGACTGTTCTTGGGAATGCACTTCGTTCTCCGGGCAGCATGCAGCTGGAGGCTGTTACTAGGGGTCTCCACCTCCCCAGCGTAAAGTGCATCCCATGCTAAGAGCAGGCTGTTTCTTGAGAACGTCATTAAACCTGGCGTTCTTGTTCTGCGCTCCGCTCAGGGCCACCAGGCCACCAGCCCCTGACCAGACCTGCACCGAGACCCCCGCCCCCAATGCGGGCTCCCTTCGAACGGGACTCCTCGACATCAGTTCCTGACTCCCTACTCCTTGCCGGCTCAAGTTTTGTTTTGCTCTTTTTCCCTCTGTCTATAATTCCTTTATTGGGCAAAACTGGGACAAACGCAGGAGGGCATTTTAAAGTGAAAGCTTCAGGAAGCAGCCTATTCCACGCTGTCGAGAGATCTGCCTAAGCATATTCAAGGGAATGAATGGTCCTCACCCACCAAAAAAGAAATCTTCGTTCCATATTCTCCCAAGCAGAGAATTGAAACATCGATTTCCACCCCCCCTTCAAAGGCACAGGAAGGCCACAGGGCAAGGACGGCTTTGGGAGCAGCCTCCTTTCTCTCTGGGGGAAAGGCTGGAGCGCAGCCTCCACTTTAAGTCCACGAAGCACGAAGGGTAGGGGTTCCTCAGAAACTTTAGCGCGGGGGAGCGGGGAGGAGGGCGATTGTTTAAATCGATGGCACACCCTCATTAATCTGCTTTCCGGCCATCTTCAGCAGAGCCATTCACCAGGAAACGACTAGAAGGTGGGCCGGCGCCCCTCAGATTTCCCGGCTCCAGCAGCGAGCCGGGCGGGAACGCCGAGCGAAGGCCGTGAGAAGCCCTCGGTGGCCGGCCAAGATGGCCACCTTCACATGGCCGACCGCCACGGGCTCCCGTCACCAGGCATCTAGAGGCGGGGCGGCCGGAAAGACCCCAGCAGGACCGCAAAATCTCTGCAATTCCCGCCGCCTCCACCGGGGGACGCGACCTTCGGGACAGATATCCCAGCCAACGGTCGGAAGGGAGGTGCCATGTCACAGCACAGGGGAGCGAGTCCAGCAAGCCCCAGTCGCTTTTCCTCCCACATCGAACATGGAAGGGCACAACCCTCAGTCTCCTCGCATCTGCACTTTCCCTAGGCTCTGGCTGCTGAAGATGGCTAAACGGTCTCCGAAGGGCCGGGCCGTCTCGGCCCCTCCCGCGGCCGCGCAGAATGGTTCAGCCCGGCCTCCGTGGGGCACGCTGCCCTTCCTCCCCAACCCCCGTGCGAGTGGTGCATTGGCGCGCGGCGCCGAGGGGCGGGACCCGAGCCGGGCGCGCGCGGGCGCTGCTCTATAAATAGCGGGCCGCGCCGCCCGCCGCCTCGTTCGCTCCGCGCCGCCCGCCTGCTCCGAGTAGGACGCTGTCCACAGCTTGCGCATTTCGCAGCCGCCGCCTCGCCGCTGTTCTTCTCAACGCCACTTCCACTCACCGACACCAACATGAACGGGCAGCTCAACGGCTTCCACGAGGCGTTCATCGAGGAGGGCACGTTCCTCTTCACTTCAGAGTCGGTGGGGGAAGGCCACCCAGGTGAGGGGACGGCCTGGAGCGAAGCGTGGGGCAGGGCAGAGGGCAGCGCCGAGGTCCGGCCGGCCGCGGCCGGCTGGTGGTGGGGCCCGCGCGGGTCGTCCTCGTCCGCCTGGTGGTGGGAAGAGCGGTGACCGCACGCTTTCCTCGTGGCGCCTCCAAGGCCGGGCGCGTGGCCGCCGCTCCTCTTCCCCCTCCCCTTCCTCTTCTCCCTTCTCCACCCTAATCCCATTCGGCCGCGCGCCTCGGCATGCGGAAGGTTCCAGAAAACGAGAAGGGCGGGGGCCGCGGCCGCTGGTGTGTTCTGGCCGGGGAGGGAGGGCACTGTTAACCCCTCCCGGCCCTGCCGTCTGACAAACCTGGAGTGGGCGACCCGCCCCGCGTGCTCGCGTCCGGCCCTCGGGAGCGCGCGCCCCGCATTGCAGCGGTGACCACGTGTTTGCCGCATGTGGCATCTGGGCAAGGGGGAGCCGTGGGCAGCCCGGGTGCCCGGTTTGAGGGGGGGTGGGTGGCCTATGCCTCGCGACATCGTCTGGCTACACTGCCTCCGTGGTTAGGTCTTGACCACACGCTGGAGAATACGCACATGCCCTTCGGCGGATATGGCCTTGTCTTCAAGGTGACGGCCTCCGACTAAATATAGCGCATGTCCAAGAAGGCAGTCCTTATTTGGACCCCGTGTAAAAAGGATGGGAAGCATGAATAAGGAGCTGCCGTTGCTTTGGGTTCCCTTTTAAAGTCTTCGGTGCTTACCGTTAGGCAGGGTTTTACCTCACTTGAGGCTTTGTCCGCTCAACCGCCATAATGGGGATCAATTGGCACGTGAAGGAGTAAAGCTGTTTCCAGGAACTGAAAATCTCAGCATATTGGCTAGTAAAGATGATTATTTGGCTCTTTAGGCTGTTTCTGCCCTTAGGATGACCGCAGTAGCTATCTAGTCTGGTGGCTTTACGGTCTAGTCAGTCTACTGTGCCTATGATGAAATCCCGCAAGTAACTTAGTGGTATGAGGACAAAACCCAGGATATTGGTGGGTGCTGAAGGTCAGCTGTTAAACCAGTTACTAGTAGACCGAGTCTTGATCCTCTAGTCTGACTTACACGTTATATTTGGATTCTATTTTGGGTGGTTGTGAAAATTCAAATAAATGAACTTTGAGTAGAGGGATATTTGTTCCTTCTCCCTTCTAATGACAGAGCAGGGAGAAGTTGGATAAGGATTCAGAATATGTTTAAGCATTTTCTACACTGTTAAGCTTTTGTTCCCTGCGCAATTCCTAACGAAATCAAATAATTGCCGTTTTAGTCACAGACTGCCTTTCCTTTAATTGTTTAATTAAATTCTCTTGTTGCTCATTATAATTAGTGCTCCTTAAGATTAGGGAGACTGGCCTACCTGTGGCCTCAGTTCTACCAGACCCCCAGGTGCACAGGGGTTTGGTACAGTTACGGAATGATTATGATGTGTAGGGCAAATGCTGTTTTTTAAGAGATTGGACTAACGGTTCATCTTTCTGGTGGGTGGTTAGATTTATAATGCAAACTTTGAATTTTAGGGGTAAAGTGCATATACAATGAATTAAGGTGTATTAAACATTTGATCGTTGCAGGGAGGGAGCTTGACCAAATACATTCTTTGTTTGAAGAAATTGACCCAGGAATTTCTCTTTTCCAGATAAGATTTGTGATCAGATAAGTGATGCTGTCCTTGATGCCCACCTTCAACAGGATCCTGATGCCAAAGTTGCTTGTGGTAGGTTGATAATGTGCTTGCTTATCAACTGGTAGAAAGGTAGCATAAAAATTATTTTTATAAAATTGATATTTGAGTTGAATCTCTTTTTATTAGAAACTGTTGCTAAAACTGGAATGATCCTTCTTGCTGGGGAAATTACATCCAGAGCTGCTGTTGACTACCAGAAAGTGGTTCGTGAAGCTGTTAAGCACATTGGATATGATGATTCTTCCAAAGGTTTGTGTTAATAGTTCTCATTTTTTCTAGATAGCAGCTAGTGAGATTTGAAGAAACTCCTAGAATGTTCCTGCTAATCCTGAACTCCTGTGTTTTACTATACTCTTAAGCTCTATTCTGTTCATTCTCTAAAAGGTCTGATGGTTTAGGTATATTTGATTTCTTCAGTGTTTAGAATTCAAAATAATTGCTGTAAATAGGAGATACTGCTATGACCTAAACAAGACGTTTTGTTTTTTGCTTATAGGGTTTGACTACAAAACTTGTAATGTGCTGGTAGCCTTGGAGCAACAGTCACCAGATATTGCCCAAGGTGTTCATCTTGACAGAAATGAGGAAGACATTGGTGCTGGAGACCAGGTATCTTGATGTAGAGGCTGTTTTAATCTCTTCTAACATGAAATTCTGGAGCTTGATCACATTGATGACTTTTCCTTCTTTAGGGCTTGATGTTTGGCTATGCCACTGATGAAACTGAGGAGTGTATGCCTTTAACTATTGTCTTGGCACACAAGCTTAATGCCAAACTGGCAGAACTACGCCGTAATGGCACTTTGCCTTGGTTACGCCCTGATTCTAAAACTCAAGTAAGTGATTATAAAGCTTGGTTGTTTCATTTATTTTATCAGTGTAGAAGATCCATACTTTTGATAATAGCTAACTGAAAAAAATAGCATTTGTTTTACTGTATTGTAACTCAGATAAATGAATACAAAGCTTTTGGTTGGTAGACTATTCTGATAATCTGTGTTGTCTTCAAGGTTACTGTGCAGTATATGCAGGATCGAGGTGCTGTGCTTCCCATCAGAGTCCACACAATTGTTATATCTGTTCAGCATGATGAAGAGGTTTGTCTTGATGAGATGAGGGATGCCCTAAAGGAGAAAGTCATCAAAGCCGTTGTGCCTGCAAAATACCTTGATGAGGATACAATCTACCACCTACAGCCAAGTGGCAGATTTGTTATTGGTGGGCCTCAGGTAATGTCATTTTGTTGCATTTTTTCTGGATTTTTGATGGTTACTTAAAAATTTGGCTACCGCATTTTTTCTAGGCTTTCTGAAACCTACATGTGAATCGTCGGAGGATATTTGCGGGTGAATTCGGAATAGGCAACCTAATCCACTTCTTGGAAGGCAGTAGGCATAAAGTAACTTAAATCCTGTAATTTCAGGGTGATGCTGGTTTGACTGGACGGAAAATCATTGTGGACACTTATGGTGGTTGGGGTGCTCATGGAGGAGGTGCCTTTTCAGGAAAGGATTATACCAAGGTCGACCGTTCAGCTGCTTATGCTGCTCGTTGGGTGGCAAAATCCCTTGTTAAAGGAGGTCTGTGCCGGAGGGTTCTTGTTCAGGTATGTACTCTTATATAACAGGAGCGATTTAAAGTCATGTAAGTGGGAGGGTATTCAGTAGTAATCTACTTAACTACTTGTTTTATACCAATGTATTACACAAGTGTGGGGGTCTTTTCAATCACTGATTCTTAGGACATTTGAATCCTTTTTAGGTCTCTTACGCTATTGGAGTTTCTCATCCATTATCTATCTCCATTTTCCATTATGGTACCTCTCAGAAGAGTGAGAGAGAGCTATTAGAGATTGTGAAGAAGAATTTCGATCTCCGCCCTGGGGTCATTGTCAGGTAAAGATGGTAAAGCCTGTTGCTAGTCAAGCATTGAGGGTGTGGGTATGTGTATATATACTTGAATCTGAGGAGGTGAAGGTGTGAAGGAAGACTTCTCAAATGGGAATATATTTTAATTCCTAGAACAGTGTTGAATTGCTGCCTTAGTTGAGAAATTTTAAATTATGGTGCTCCATGGCTTAGGCTAACCACCCTAGAGAATCTTCCAGTTTTGATATTTGAGCTTTGTGCTCTTACCTAAGGGTGTTTACCATTAAGAAATCTAAAGTGGGATGCTCAAGGCTTGTTATAATGTAAAAACCATGGTGTAGGGTGTGGGCAGTGGGGACCTTGGTAAGTATTCTGTGATCTCAGATGAGCTTTTTGACAATTGAAATTTCTCAGAATAATGAAGTTTTCACGTTTGTTGAGCCAGGGATGGAAAAACAACTATAGTTACTAATAAGGACTGTGCAAGGAGTTTGGACACCAGGGAAGTAACACTTTTGCCACAAATTTTTTTCCTAGCATATCCCAGAGAACTCATTTGCCAGAGCCCTTGAAAATGAGTCTTGCTGATTGTTTTGCTTTATTTTAATTTAATGCTACATATTAAGTTACGGACTTGTATATTCCAGGGATCTGGATCTGAAGAAGCCAATTTATCAGAGGACTGCAGCCTATGGCCACTTTGGTAGGGACAGCTTCCCATGGGAAGTGCCCAAAAAGCTAAAATATTGAAAGTGTTAGCCTTTTTTCCCCAGACTTGTTGGCGTAGGCTACAGAGAAGCCTTCAAGCTCTGAGGGAAAGGGCCCTCCTTCCTAAATTTTTCTGTCCTCTTTCAGCTCCTGACAGTTGCAGTCACTCTAGTCAATGACATGAATTTTAGCTTTTGTGGGGGACTGTAAGTTGGGCTTGCTATTCTGTCCCTAGGTGTTTTGTTCACCATTATAATGAATTTAGTGAGCATAGGTGATCCATGTAACTGCCTAGAAACAACACTGTAGTAAATAATGCTTTGAAATTGAACCTTTGTGCCCTATCACCCAACGCTCCAAAGTCCTAATTGCATTGACTTTCCCACCAGATGCTGAAAATGTCCTTGTAATGTGCACGTAAAGTACTTGTAGTTCCACTTATAGCCTCTGTCTGGCAATGCCACAGCCCTGTCAGCATGAATTTGTAATGTCTTGAGCTCTATTATGAATGTGAAGCCTTCCCCTTATCCTCCCTGTAACTTGATCCACTTCTAATTATGTAGCTCTTTGTCAGGGAGTGTTCCCTATCCAATCAATCTTGCATGTAACGCAAGTTCCCAGTTGGAGCTCTAGCCTGACATCAAAAAAAGGCAGTTACCATTAAACCATCTCCCTGGTGCTTATGCTCTTAATTGCCACCTCTAACAGCACCAAATCAAAATCTCTCCACTTTCAGCTGTCTTTTGGAGGACGTACGTAATAAGGTTTTAATTTAGTAAACCAATCCTATGCATGGTTTCAGCACTAGCCAAACCTCACCAACTCCTAGTTCTAGAAAAACAGGCACTTGGCAGCCTTGTGATGTCATACAGAGAAGTCACAGGGCAGTACCTGAGGGTCTGTAGGTTGCACACTTTGGTACCAGATAACTTTTTTTTTTCTTTATAAGAAAGCCTGAGTACTCCACACTGCACAATAACTCCTCCCAGGGTTTTAACTTTGTTTTATTTTCAAAACCAGGTCCAATGAGCTTTCTGAACAGCTGGTGTAGCTACAGAGAAACCAGCTTCCTTCAGAGAGCAGTGCTTTTGGCGGGGAGGAGGAAATCCCTTCATACTTGAACGTTTTCTAATTGCTTATTTATTGTATTCTGGGGTATGGTGTAAGTACAGAGAAGCCATCACCTCAGATGGCAGCTTTTAAAATTTTTTTTTTTCTCTCTCAACACCATGATTCCTTTAACATGTTTCCAGCATTCCCAGGTAGGCCAAGGTGTCCTACAGAAAAACCTTGGGTTAGACCTACAGGGGGTCTGGCTGGTGTTAACAGAAGGGAGGGCAGAGCTGGTGCGGCTGGCCATGGAGAAAGCTGACTTGGCTGGTGTGGTACAGAGAAGCCAGCTTGTTTACATGCTTATTCCATGACCGCTTGCCCTAAGCAGAAAGTGCCTTTCAGGATCTATTTTTGGAGGTTTATTACGTATGTCTGGTTCTCAATTCCAACAGTTTAATGAAGATCTAAATAAAATGCTAGGTTCTACCTTAGCTGTGTCTCTTTTTCATTATTGTTAAAGTGCTTTGGGCCCAGGTGTGATGGTACATGCCCCATAATCCCAACACTGCCGAAGGCTGAAGTAAGACCACGTGAACATAGGAGTTGGAGGCTGTAGTGAACCATTATCAAGCCACTGTACTCTAGCCTGGGTGACTGTGAGACTGCTTGTTAAAAGAATGAAACTGTATGACCTGAGAATATTATATGTGTACCTTTAACCCTGAATTGTAATCTTAGCCATAATTTAGGAAAATCACCTCAATCCCTAGACCCACTGTGTAGGCATTTAAAGGCTTACAATGCAGTAAGAGCAAGATTTGGCCTAGGAGACTCAGGCCAAGATTCATATGTCCTTAATGCAGCAGCCATTCAATGGCATTTCCAAGTTTTCGACTAAGATTCAGGGCTTCAAACCATTGAAGACACAAAAACCACTAAAGGTATTAGCCTGGAAGAAGAAATATCCATCCAGTCCTGGCAATTTAAGCCTAATTGACATACATTTTATTAAAATAATGAAGTGTTAAGGGTTGTAGTTTCATGTTCCTGTTTGGGAAGTTGTAAAATGTGATTTCTAGTCTATCTTGCAGAGACAAATATACAAATGAAATTTATTACAGTGAAAATGCTATAAATTTGCAAAGGGTTAATTTCATCTCACAGGTTGTGTAGAAAATCCATAGACCATGCTGGTCTTGAGCCTAGGAGCTACATAGACAGTAGCCACTTGGAATACATTTCTTGTGGCATCTGAATGGTGGTCCAGCTTTACTCTTGTTCTTCAAATGTAAAGCAAGAAATGCTTGCTTATGGCTGTTAGGATGGAGGCTTAAAAACTTGGAATCTAGGCTAGGTGTGGTGGCAGGTGCCTGTAATGTCAACTTCTAGGGAGGCTTAGAGTTGCTTGAACCTAGGAGGTGGAGGTTGCAGTGAGCTGAGAGCACCACTGCACTCCAACCTGGGTAACAAAGTGAGACCATCTCAAAGTATGTTGGGAAGTAGGGGGAGGGTAAGGTTAAATCCTATGCAGATGTACCAATTAGCCTTGTTCTAACTTGAGAACCTGAATTTTGCATATTGAAATGCTCCAGAACAATCTTTCATAAAGGAGTTCTTAGATGCCAATACATTGCAGATAACCATATTGGCTAAATTAGGGTAACGAGCATCAATAAGTGCCTCTAAGTTGGTAGAGTAGCATCAGAGAAGTTTTCAAAAAGTAACTGCTTTAAGGTTATGTTTAGTATCTGCTAAGTAAATGAAGATTCCCCAGTCTTCAAGGAACTTGGGGAATATAGTGTTGTCCTGCCCAGCCTGGGGGAAAAAAGTATCTTAAAGGTAATGAAGGTGGTGGATGAACACTAACCAGGCCACGGGGAACAGAGCCAAAGGGGTGAAGGCATAAAAAGGAATAAGGGTGATTATAAATAGTTAAGAATCAAAGCATCAAGTATGACTTAAGGGAATGTCTTATTTAGGTTGAAAAGTCTATAACCTGCCTTTCTAAAAAGTTTCAAAGGGGATGGATACTCATCAGGGGCAAAGATCCAAATGCTCAGGGTAGAATGAGGAGGAAGAATACTAAAGCCTTTTGGATAAAAGGCCTTTGATAGCCCATTTTTAGATTGGCTACATTTGCAACCCAACTCTATCCCACTGATGAACAGCTTTTATTACCAGTATTTACATAATCACTTATTCTTTCCACCTCACCATATCCCAACATTTTCCTTGGAAAAACTGGTCAGAGAGGTGGTAGTTGTACTAACAGTTTGAGGAAGGCATTTTCCTTGTCCTATTAAGAAAAATACTTTTGCAAGTGTCTCCTCCCAAAGAACTCTTGGGACTTTTGTTACCAGTCAAGTAGGTACAGTGAGCTTGGCAAACACAGTGCCAGTGTATCTTCTATTGTGTTACTATGAGAAAAGATCTGCAAAAGAAAGGATTAAACATCAGTGTCACTCCCACCTCCATTCTTATTTTACTGGTTTTTTGAGATGGAGTTTCACTCTGTTGCCAGGCTGGAGTGCAATGGCACAATCTTGGCTCACCGCAACCTCCACCTCCCGGATTCAAGAGATTCTCCTTCTTCAGCCTCCCGACTAGTTGGGATTATACGCATGAAGATAAATTACTTTTTGTGCATTTACACCACCACACCCAGCTAATTTTGTATTTTTAGTAGAGACAGGGTTTTTCCCATGTTGGTCAGGCTGGTCTTGAACTCTTGACCTCAGGTAATCCACCTCAGCCTTCCAAAGAGCTGGGGTTACAGGTGAGCCACCACACCTGGCCTTTTTTT